TGGTTGTGAGCCACCATGTGGTTGCTGGGAATTGAACTCAGGACCTCTGCAAGAACAGCCAGTGCTCTTAACCTCTGAGCCATCTCTCCAGCCCATTTTTTGTTTTTGTTTTTGTTTTTGTGTAGCTGAAGTTTTCTCCAGTCCTGCCTGGCCCACAGTCAGGACAAAGCTTTCACCTGCCAGTCCCGCAGCTGCTCAGACCCAACCAAGTAAACACAGAGACTTATATTACTTATAAACTGTATGGCCGTGGCAGGCTTCTTGCTAACTGTTCTTATATCTTAAATCAACCCATTTCTATTAATCTATAAATTGCCACGTGGCTCGTGGCTTAGTGGTACCTTACATCTTGCTTTTCATGGCAGCAGCTGGCAGCATCTCCCTGCCTCAGCCTTCCACTTCCCAGAATTCTCTTCTCTGCTTGTCCCACCTATACTTCCTACCTGGCTACTGGCCAATCAGCATTTTATTTATAAATTGACTTTAGTCGATGAGGTGCTGGGTCTGGCGAGATGGATCAGAGGGTAAAGGGATTTGTTGACAAACCTGAAGACCTGAGTTCAACCCCTGGACCCACCCGGTGGAAGGAAAGGACTGAGTCCTGCCAACTGTCCTCTGAGCTGTACACTTGGGCCATGTCAGCATGCATTCTCACCTCCAATAAACAAATATTTAACAAAAAAGGGTGCATTTCGCCACACCCGACATTAAAAAAATAAATACAGCCGGGGTGGTGCAGCAGAGGGTATTGGGATGAGGCTGTGCCTGCTGAAGTTCTTCTCTGGGGTGTAAGTCAGGGGCTTCAGGCTTTGTCTTGCCTTGCACAGCTCTTGCAAGTGGCTCCAGCTTGAGTGCAGAGGCAGGGTGACTCTGCACATACACGCCACCAGCACCACCCTGAGACCTAGATGGATAACTTATTGCTAAGTGAAAAGGCTTCGCCAGAGAGATGGCTCAGCGGTTAAGAGCACCGACTGCTCTTCCAGAGGACCAAGCTTCAATTGCCAGAGTCCACACGGCAGCTCACAACTGTCTGTAACTCTCACATATGGTGCATAGATACATATGCAGGCAAAACACATAAACTAATTTTTAAAAGAGTGAAAAGGTACCACCTATTAATGTATCCAAGTATAGATTGAGAACATATGCTCAGTAGGTGTATTAAAATCACTTAAGTATCAGCAGGCTCAAGAACTTATCAAACATAATCAGACCTAGAACGGGTGCCACACCCTCAGTGGGATTCCATAATGAGGACATCTAACACAGTGATGGCGATGATCCCCACCCTACTGACCACTGTGTGTGTGAGAGCGTGCGCGGCTCAAAGGACAAGAGAGAAATCCTCACTGTTTCTGGGGCTTCAGCTCACTCAGCTCAGGTCCACTGTTGATGAAAACTACTTAGATTATCCAGAAAACCCAGTCCTGCATTTTGCCTGAGGCTGGGCTCAGCCCTGTGACCTGCTGCTTGGCCGTGAGGCAGGGGCTGTGGCTGCCTTCGAGGCTGCATCTCCAGCAGCTCTAGCTGGTTTTCTTCTCTGGCTGTGGGACCTGGTAACTTTGCCTTAACCTATCAGCTGTCTTGAATTATGCCGTGGCTTCTTTAACCCGTTTGTAGCCACAGTATAACCTATGTATGTCTACACGTGGTGTGACCCAAGGGTTAGTGATTAATAAAAAGAACCTGTGCTTGTTTTTTAGCCCATTATTCAGGTAAATCAGGACTAATTAGCAAATTGCGGCCAATGGAACCGACACAGCTTGTTAATTGATTGATAGTCAATAAATTCAGATGTGGAAAGACACAAATATATTTGTTCATGTTTCTGACACAGGGTACTCAAGACAGAGGGTGAGTCTCTCTGGAGAGAATATTCAGTCTTGGGAGCAAAACATGGACGCCATCCAAGGATCCCAAATCCTCCCAAGGGCAATCCCACCCTTTACAGGAGATGCACGATAAATGTTAGTGTCCTTTCCAGCATATTCTGACCTGGCCTAACTTTCCTAGCAAGCCCTCTGTTCCCAAACAGCACTGGGTTTCATTTCACTGTGCTTTTTTGCATCTGAAGTTCTCTCCTGTTCTGGAACGCCCTTCCTGGAGTGAAGGCACGGGATGCAAAGTGGTGCTCTGCAGAGAAGAAAACAGAAGGTATCAGCTGAGGGCGGCCGCGGCGGAGCTCGGCCTCTGGATCCTCACGCGTAAAAAGGAGATAAAATTTTAAGAATTTTTTTTCCCCCCAGCAAAGGCTGTTCCGTGGATCAAAAAGCCATTCCAGTAACGCTTTTAAGCATCACTTCTTGCTCCAGTAACGTGACGCTCGCACGCGCGCGCGCGGGCACCGCGACCTGCTCCGCCCCAAGGGAGCCGCCCCTTGACCGCCTCCCCGAGCTCCTGGCGCCCAGGGTGGCGTCGGTGCAGCCACGTCGCCTCCCCCAACCCTGCCGACACCGGGGTGTCTCAGACGCCGCCGAGAGTTAGGTACCCGGCTCACCGGGCCGCGCCCCACACCGCCTGAGCCCTGCGATTGGCTGCTGTGGGTGCCCGTCTGCGGAGGCCGCCGCAGATTGGTCGGATTCGGCGTGGGGGGGCGGGCCCCGCGGAGCATAGGAAGGGCGGGGACCCGGATGTGTGTGGTGGCGGCGGCGGCGGCAGCGGCCGAAGAGCTACAGCACGGAGCTGAGAGGCCTATGGATGAGGAGGACGCGGCGGCCCCGGTAGGCGGGGATCGGGGGCGGGGTCCCGGAGGCCGCGGTCTCTGCAGATCTCCAGGCGGGGGTCCTGGAAGGCGGCTCCGGGCTCAGGGGCGGCGCCGGGGGCTCGGGTCACCGGCGTTCCTCCCGCCGCCGCGCACCTCCCCTAGTGCGGGGCCTGCGGAGACCGGGCGTAGCCGCATTGACAGGTGAAGGCCGGGTGGCCCCCGGGTCTCCTCCGAGTGACCCGACCCTGCTGAGGCCGCGCCAGGCCCCAGCGCCGCTGCGGCTGGTTGGTGCTGAGGCTGTCGGGTGCTGGAGGATCAGGTGCCTTCACGTCTGGGGCTCCAGCGTCCACCCGGGTTCAAACCCCGGCCCCGGGCCCAGGAGGGGCCTCCTAGTGCCGAGCCACAGGTGTCTGCTCGCCTGCAGCGTGTGGTGATGGGTAGCTCCTTCAGAAGAGCCCTGATGTGCACGTTGGAATCGAACTCCGCTTAGCCTAGGTTTGCTAAGCACCTACTGTGTGTGTGTGTGTTTGGGGGGAATTAGGGGGGGCACTGTGCCAGGTGTCTGGGGAATGGGAAGAACAGATTTCTTCATCGTTTTCCCACGTTTGGCTCTCTGGAAAATTTTATTCATTCATTCGTTGGTCTTGAGGGTTGTCTAAATACCAAGAGAGTCCCATTCCTTTTCTCCTCCGCTGCTGCTGCCCTTCTGATGGCTGCCACCCGGTGAGCTGGGAATGAGAGTCAAGATCTGATCAATTCTTTTTGTTTGAGACAAGCGTTCACCACGTAGCCTTGGCTGGCCTGGCACCCGCTATGTAGACCAGGCTGTTCTAGAACTCAGAGGTCCATTTGCCTCTGCCTGGGAGTAAAAGTGCTAGAAGGATTGCTGGGTGGTGGTGGTGCATAACACTAATCCCAGCACTCAGGAGGACGAGGCAGGTGGTTCTCTGTGAGTTCGAGGCCAGCCTGGGCTACGCTGTGAGTTCCAGGACAGGAAGGGCTACTCAGAGAAGCCCAATCTCGAGCCCCAACCCCACAAAAAGAGCACTGGCTTCTCTCCCAGAGGACCTAGGGTTCAATTCCCAGCACCCACATGGCAGGCAGCTCACAGCTGTAACTCCAGTTCCAGGGGCTCTGATGCCCTCTTCTGGTCTCTGAAGACACCAGGCACACACAGTACGAACAGACACACATACAGGAAACACCCATACACGTAAAAATAATAAAAAATTTAAAAAATTGCTAGGATTAAATAGATGAGTATCACCATACCCAGCAAGATGGGGTATGTTTTAAAATCATACCATTTCTTGCTTACAATTCCAATTTCTCGCTACCCTTGAAATAAAATTTAAACTCCTGACTGGGCAGTCTTTTGCCTTATCCTATTCTTTTTTTTGGTTTTTCGAGACAGGGTTTCCATGCGTAGCTTTGTGCCTTTCCTGGAGCTCACTTGGTAGCCCAGGCTGGCCTCGAACTCACAGAGATCCGCCTGGCTCTGCCTCCTGAGTGCTGGGATTAAAGGCGTGCGCCACCACCGCCCGGCTTGCCTTATCTTATTCTTACTCACCTTCCCCATATACCAGCGGCTCTGGCCGTCTGTCTGTCTGTCTCTACGGCGACACCTTTCTTCCACCAAGGCCCCGTGCCTTGACTGTTCTCTGCCTGGAATGCTGTTTGCTGGGCTGCCATGCTGCCTGCCTGCCTTGCAGCTCACACGCAGCCCCTCCGAGACTGTCCTCGCCCAGTGTCTGTTACACCTCTGTGCTTTTTTCTTCCGCTGGCTAAAGTGGCCATTTGTGCTCCATTTGTGCTAATTACCTGCTGTGCTTCCTCACGCCCACGAGATTGGAAACGACGAGAACATGAATCCCATCTGTCTTGCTCACAGCTTTGTTCTAGCCTCGATGACCGTGCACGTGGAAAAAGCCCAACAAATATCTATTGACCGAGTGAGTGGCCGGGGCTGGAGTTACTGAGATGCATTTGGACATCGGGCTTCAAGTCTGGGGCCCTCTGCACACTCAGGATTGAGCAGGCTGAGGTGCTCTGTGCTCAGCCCCATTTCCCCCTCAGTCATTTCTCTTCTCACAGGTTTGTTCTCATGAACAAGATGGATGACCTCAACTTGCACTACCGGTTTCTGAATTGGCGGAGGAGGATTCGGGAGATCCGAGAGGTCCGGGCTTTCCGGTATCAGGAGAGGTTCAAGCATATCCTTGTGGACGGTGACACTTTGAGGCGAGTACAGGGAAATGGTTCCACCTTGACCCTCCAGTGCTTTCCAGGTGTTTCAGAGGGAGGGCACCCCGGTGGCCTTCGTGCATTCCTTTCTGCCTCCGGTCACTCGGTCACTCCTCAGGGTTGCGCTTGGTTTTTGTTTATTGGGTGTGTGTACTCGGGGGTGGCTGCTCAAGGACAGCTGGAGGAGGTTGGTCATCTTAGGTCAGGTGGGACCCAGGGATCCGACTGTCATTAGGCAAGTGCTTTGTACTGAGCCACCTCACCGCTCCATGCTTTGTTTTTTTTTTTTTGTTGTTTTTTGTTTTGTTTTGTTTTGTTTTTTGGTTTTTCGAGACAGGGTTTCTCTGTGTAGTTTTGGTGCCTGTCCTGGATCTAGCTCTGTAGACCAGGCTGGCCTCGAACTCACAGAGATCCGCACGCCTCTGCCTCCCGAGTGCTGGGATTAAAGGCATGCGCCACCACCGCCCGGCAACTTTGTTTTGTTTTTGAGATGGGCAGGTTGTCCTAAAACTTACAGCCCTTCTCCTCAGCTTCCCAAAAGCTGGGATTCCAGGCATGTACCATCTCAGCCATTTTGGCTCCTTGTCTTCTGGTCTGGCAAGGAAAGGATCCAGAAAGGCCATGCATGTTCTGATCTGGAAGTCCCCATGGCATGTGTAGGAGGCTGCCAGGACCTGCCAGGACGGTGGATCTGTGTGGTCTGAGTCCCCCACTGCCTACATTTCAAAGACGGGGTTCAGCAGGGAGTGGCTGGGGAGTGCCAGTACATAATCACCCACCCTGTGTCTTTCTAGCCCTTTGGTTTGTATTTTTCTCTCTTGTCTGGAATCTTCCCTGCCTCCTTCCTGCCTCCTAGATAGTTATCATCTAAGAGGAGAAGGAAGTAGCATTATTTAGCCTGAGGGGAAGAAAGCTGAATTGTGGGAACTGAGTGACTCTGCCAGGCTGAAGGCTAGTTGTCTAGCTCCACTGAGGACAGGGCTGAAGGGAAGGGCCAAAGCTGCAACGTGAGGGAGGGATTGAGGTTACACAAGACTGTGGGACCCCTAAAACACAGTTAAGGAAGGCTGTATATTTACCTCCTGAAAATGACGAAACTAGACTGGATTGATCTAGTGTGGGTTGTGCCTGGCTAGAAGCAGTGGGAAGGGGGGTGATGGTTAAGTACCTCATGTGTGTGTGCATCCACACAGATTGATTAATTTTCTCTGGATAGTCCTGGCTGCCCTGGAACTCGCTCTGCAGACCAGGCTGGCCTTGAACTCAGAGATTCCCCTACTACAGCCTCCCAAGTGCTGGAGTTAAAGGTGTATGCCACCACGCCTGGCTATGTGCTGATTTTCTGAAGTGTGCCTTGATGTTCTCTGTGCTATCCCTCACAAGATTGGGGTTCGGGGTATTGGGACTTCCTCCTAATCCCTGGGCTTGCCTGCTCATAGAATGTTTCCATGTTCCTTTAGTTACCATGGAAATTCTGGTGAAGTCGGCTGCTATGTGGCGTCTCGACCGCTGACCAAGGACAGCAATTATTTTGAGGTGATCAAGCAGTAGTTGGGCAGAGCTGGGGAGCCGGGGTGCGGTGATGGGGTTGGCGATGAGGAGCTCTTCTCCTGGATTTATGACCTGGCCTTTTAAGTTTTCCATCAGTGTTGTTCTTTTGGGAGAAGGGTGCAGAGCAGCCTGACTCTTGATCTGAGACACAGGCACCTTGGAGTCTCATCACCCTTTGCCCTTCTGCTCTGCTGTCCCCTTGCCTAGGGTGACTTTGACCCGTGTCTCACTTCCCTAGCTCCTACTACGGTGGTCCCCAACCTTCCTAATGTTGCGATCCTTCAGTACAGTTCCTCATGTTGTGGTGACTCCCAACCATAAAATTATTTTCATTGCTACTTCATAACTGTCATGAATTGTAAATGTCTGTGTCTTCTGATGGTCTTAGGCGACCCCTGTGAAAGGGTCACGACCCCTAAGAGGTCAAGACCCACAGGTTGAAAACTGCTGCCCTAATAGAAGCCCAGAATTGATTGTGTGCCTAACTTCTTCTTATTATTGTTATTATTATTATAAATGCTGTGTGTGGGTATGTGCATGTGAGTGTAGTACCCACAGAGGCTGGAAGTTAGTATCAGATCCGCAAGGAGCTGGGGTTACTGGTGGTTGTGGACTACCTGATGTGGGTCATGGGGACCAAACTTAGGTCAGTATATACTCTTAACTACTGAGCCAGTTCTCCAGCTCCCCACCCCTACTTTTTTTTTTTGAAACAGGATCTCCCTAGGTAGCCCTGGTTGGCCTGGAACTCGCCGTGTCTCTAAGTATACCAGACTGGCCTGGAACCTGTCTCTGCCTCTAGAGTGCTAGGATTAAGGATGTGAGCCATGATGCTCAACTAAGGCTCAAAAATGATTGTCTAGGGCTGGAAGATGGCTCAGTGGTTAAGAGCACTGACTGCTTTTCCAGAGGACCTGAGTTCAGTTCCCAGCCCCACATGGCAGCTCACAACTGTCTTTAACTCCAGGATCCAACCCCTCACACAGACATATATGCAGGCAAAACATCAGTGTACACAAGATAAAAATAAATAAATTGAAAAAAAAAAAGAATTCACCTTAAAAAGAAAAGAGTGATTGCCTCAATAACCCTAGGAAAGGGGGCCCTGCCCTCCCCTGCTCTCCCTGGCAGGGCCTAATCTCTCACCCCCAGGTCTCTTTGAGCATAAACCTCCCTTTGATCACTCCAGAAGTTCATTCAGTTTTCTGTCCCTGTGAACTTATCATGCTCTCTTCCCTCCAGGTATCCATTGTGGACAGTGGCGTCCGGGGCACCATCGCTGTGGGGCTGGTCCCCCAGTACTACAGCTTGGATCACCAGCCTGGCTGGTTGCCTGACTCCGTAGCCTACCATGCTGATGATGGCAAGTGAGTGGGTCCTTTGCTATGGAGTGGCAGTCTAGATGTGAAGGGAAAACAGAGTGGAGCTGCTGAGAAGATGCAGAGGAGCAGGTGCCATAGTCCGTGTCTTGTGCCACTCTCTCCGTAGGCTGTACAACGGCCGTGCCAAGGGGCGCCAGTTTGGCTCAAAGTGCAATTCCGGGGACCGGATTGGCTGTGGCATTGAGCCTGTGTCTTTTGACGTTCAGACTGCCCAGATCTTCTTCACCAAAAACGGGAAACGGGTGAGTGGGGAACCCTGTCTGAGAGGTTTCAGTGGCTTGGATCTGCCTCAGGATCTGTGAGAGGGACAGTGGAGAGTGGTGATTTCATTCCTGTTGCCTGTCTAGCCTCAGGCAGTCCCCTGTGTATCTGAGAAGACACTTCCTGCCCAGGGCAGCTGGAACATGACCCAGATCTAAGGTTAGAAGGATGGGGAACTACAGCCAGCAGGGGCAGAAATACATGATTTGGAGGAAGACTTTTTTTAGTTTCTGTTTTTCGAGACAGAGTTTCTCTGTGTAGTCCTGGCTATCCTGGAACTCACTCTAGACAAGGCTGGCCTCAAGCTCAGAGATCTGCCTGCCTCTGCCTCTGGGATTAAAGGCATGCACCATCACTGCCCAATGCAGGAAGACTTTGAACAGACAAAGGGAGGGAAAGAGTTTGCGACTGTAGCTCAGGTGGTAGGTAGTGTGTTTGCCTAGCATGCTTGAGCTCTGGGTTCAACTCCCAGCACTGCATGGGCACTCAGGAGATGGATGCAGGAGAACCAGGAGGTCAAAGTCATTCTTGCTACATGATGAATTCAAGGACAGTTTGGGTTACATGAAGTGCTATCTTTAAAAAAGTTTTCTTTTGGGATGTGGCCCCTGAGGCTGCTCATGCTCCAGTAGATGGCTCTGTGCCCTTGCACATGTAGGCAATGCTAAGCTGGCTCAGTGGGTTTGAAAAAAGACTGCATGAAGTTAGGAGGGGGGTACACGGTCCGGGTGGGGGTAGGGAAGACTGCATGAAGTTAGGAGGGGGTACACGGTCCAGGTGGGGGTAGGGAAGAAATTGGAGGGGAGGGGAGGGGAGGGGGGTGGATTTGATCAAAGCACATTACATGCATGTATGAAATTCTCAAACAATAAAAATGTAAAAAGCGGTGCTGAAGAGATGGCTCAGTGGTTAAGAGCACTGACTGCTTTTCCAGAGGACCCAGGTTCAACTCCCAGCACCCACATGGTAGCTCACAAGTGTCTCTAACTCCTCCAGGTCCAGGGGATCTGTGCTGTGTCAGCTGCAGGGTTTTGGGTTGGTTTGAATATTTGGGGCAATATGTCCTTGGTTTTATTTTCTTTCACTCCGAGAGTCCTCTTCTCTTCAGAGATGGTAGTTTTGGTGAGAGAAAGCCACGCGACTCTCTCCCTCTTCTTGCCTCCTCCCACTCTGCTGGGGGAAGATTGCTTCCCAAGCCAGGCAAGAGGTCAGCTCCCTCTGCAGCCTTGGCAGACGTGCATTGGTGCTGCTGCGGCGCTCACGCAGGTGTTTGCAGAGCCTGAGGCTTGACTTCTAGCTCCATGTAACTTGCTTGGCAAGGAGTTTTTACCAATTTTACCAATTGTTAAAACTCTCCAGGACCTCTGTCTTTCTTAAGTCTGTGAGTGTGTATGTGGTAATAGTTGGTTGCATCGTCTTGGAAATGCCCTTTGAGAACGGGATGGGCTGTGGGAAACTGACCCACATGGCAGCCTCTCTTCTCTCTCTGTGCTGCAGGTGGGCTCCACCATCATGCCCATGTCTCCAGATGGGCTCTTCCCAGCAGTTGGTATGCATTCCCTGGGTGAGGAGGTGAGGCTGCACCTCAACGCCGAGCTGGGCCGTGAGGATGACAGCGTCATGATGGTGGACAGCTATGAAGATGAATGGGGCCGGCTGCATGACGTCAGAGTCTGTGGGACTGTAAGTAAAAGGCACTGAAGGTAAATGGGCTGGGCAGAACACGGGTGCAGCTAAGCACATTGGTATGGCTTAGGATGAGGAGGAAGAACAGTGTTGCCCCCCCCCCCCCCCCACCATTTCTTCTTTGAGACAGGGTCTCGTTGTGTAGCCCTGGCTGGACTGGAACTCAGAGATCTACCTGGCTGGGCCTCCTGAGTGCTGGGCTTAAAGGCGTGCGCCATGCCTGACTCTCTTTCTTTCTTCATCTTGCTTGGCCTTGAATTTGCATTCTGCCCACCTTGGCCTCTGGAGTATCAGTCCTGTGCTGCTGCACCCGGGAGAGGCTTTTGTGAGGCTTGGGGAAGTGGAAATTTGGGTAGAGCAGCCAAGGCCTTGGCGTGGTTCTTGGAGTCCAAACCTGTGTTGTGAGGCTCATTCCCTCCCTTCTTTCCCCTTCATTTGGGACCTCAGATTGGCTGTTGATTCCCAGAATAAGCCGACGCTCTCGTTTGCAGGCTTCTCTTTCTTCAGTGTTGGGGAACAGCTTTGGAAGCCTAGTTCTTATGCTTCCCTTTGGCTGGATTCAGCTCAGCTGGGCTCTCTGGTCATAGAACTGAGGAACAAATGTGGAAAAAGACTCTAGGAGTTGGGTGTAGTCAGACTTTCTCTGCCAAATAATGACACGGAGACTTATTACTAATTATGAAAGCTTGGCCTTAGCTTTAGGCATGTTCCCAACTACCCTTAAAACTTAAATTAACTCACCACGCGGTGGTGGCGCACACCTTTAATCCCAGCACTCCGGAGGCAGAGGCAATCGGATCTCTGTGAGTTTGAGGCCAGCCTGGGCTACAGAGTGAGATCCAGGACAGGCACCAAAACTACACAGAGAAACCCTGTCTTGAAAAACAAAAAACAAAACAAAACAAAACTTAAATTAACTCATTAATATTAATCTATGTTCTGTTGTGTGGCTTGTTACCTCTCCTCCATACTGTACATCCCCATCTCTCTGGCAAATTTCTGCTTCTCTGAGTCCTTCCTAGAGTTCCTATCTCTGCCTGGAAGTCCCGCCTATCCTCTCCTATTGGCCTTTCAGCTCTTTACTAAACCAATCAGAAGGTGCTTTGGCAGAGACACATCTTCACAGTGTACAAAAAGATTCCACAACAGTTGGGTTGTTGTTGGGGACGTGTGTGTGTGTGTGTGTGTGTGTGTGTGTGTGTGTGTTGTGTTTCTGGGTATTTAAAATAGAACATTGCACATGCTAAACAAGTTTTCTTCCACCAAGCTGTATCTATCTCTAGCTCTTTTATTATTTTTTTGAGATAGGGTCTTAACTAAGCTGCCCTGACTGGTATCTGAACTCAGTCTCCAACCCAGTCGGGTCTTGAACTTTGAATTCACATGCCTCTGCCTTTCAAGTGGTAGGGGTCAGAAGCTTGCATGCAGGCCCAGTTTTGGGGGTCACGAATGAACTTCAGTGTTAATCTCGTCTGTGTTTTTGTAGAAGATGACAACGTAGATAAATGATAAGTCGGGGGGACCTGAAGCCTCCAAGCTTGCTTTCAAGCGTTTCTCTTCAGTCTAACTCTGATCTCTTGTGAGATGCTCAGTCCTCCCACTTAGAATTCTTCTCTGCAGCCTTCTTACTGCTCCCAGCCTGGCCTTTGGCCTTCTCACCCCAACACAGGCTGTTTTCAAATCAGCCTGTGATAGGAAAACAGAGGCAGTGGGGGTGGAAGGGGGTTATGAGCAAGGCCTTTCCTTGTGGAGTTCAAGGTAAATTGAGCTCAGAGAGCATGGCAGACTGCGTCCTCCTGCTGTCTGATGCCCCACTTCCCTCTGGCCCTGGGGTGTGAGGGCTAGGTGGTTGTGAGCCAAGGCCTCAGATGCTCACGCCTTGATTCATCGCTTCTTTCTTTCTCCTTCCACCGTCATTTTGACAACATCCACAGAGTTGCCCTTGGGCCTGAGCCATGGCTGTGTTCCAGCTTTCATCTCTGACCTCTCCTCAATGTTTTCCTGGCATCCTTTCCCTGCCTGGACCTGTCCCTACTCTACTCCCAGCTCCTCCCAGGCATCTTTTCTAACTGAGGTGGAGTCCTGTAGACATTATAAATAGCCTTCCTTCCTTCCCTCCCCTCAGCGTCCTCAGTCCACTCACTTAGGAATTTTTTTCCCTTAAGCTTAGCTGTAGAGTTTGTTTGGCTGTTTTTAAACCCTCACCTCAGCTTAGGGCTGCTGGCAGGGTAAGTCCACTGCACCGTGCACACAGGCTCCTCTGCAGTGGAGTCGGGCAGCTGTGTGTTTTGAGACAGTCAAAACTGTAGTCAGTCTGCCCTGGAACTCACATTTAGCTCAGGCTGGCAGTGAGTTCTCGGCAGTCTTCTTATCTCAGCCTCCTGAGGTTACTGATGTGACCCACCATGCCTGGCTAGCAGTCAGTCTCTTCTCCCTCCAGTTTTCTGGTGGATCTTTTATTACATTTATTTATTAATTTATTGTGTGTGTGTCTTAGTGTGTGTGCATGTGGCGATCAGAAGACAAGTGTGGGACCGACTCTCCCTCTATTAGGTGGGTTCCCGGAGTTGAACTTCGGTGGTTAGGCTTGGCAGCAAGTGCCCTCACCCCCTTAGCCATCTCTCCAGCCCTAGGGTGAGTCTCTTGGAGAACATAGGTCCTTTTAGGTTTGCCAACTGTCCCATCTTTCAAATGAGGATAACCTGCCTGGTTTTTTTCATCTTCTGTTCTTTTGTACCATCCACTGTATTTCTGATTAGAGCTGTGTTGTCTTGGAAGGAGAGTTCATTCCTTTAAAGATGACTAGCATACATTTTCATCCTTTGCCCTTGTTTTTTACATCCCTTGCTGTTGGGGACCCGCCCTTGGACCCAAGGCCTTCTTTCCGAGTGGATGGTGGTCTCAGTAGGGTGTCCCAGAACCATGGAGATTTGGGAAGGCCTCAAATCTGACCTAAAGTTTCTCAAAAGGACATAAGTGGTATTTCAGTAGGGACAGTTATTTATTTTTTTTAACTTTTATTCATTCGTGTGTGTGTGTGTGTGTGTGTGTGTGTGTGTGTGTGTGTGTGCGCGCGCACATAGCATGCATGTGGAGATCAGAGCTTGATCTTCAGGAATCATCTCCTTCTGCCACCATGTGGGTCTGGGGGTCCAACTCAGCTCATCAGGCTTGGCAGTGAGGGTCTTTACCTGCTGAGCCATCTTGCCAGCCCAGGAGAGTTCTTTCATGTGCAGGACAGTGGGCATCTTTAGCATGCAGACACAAGTTATTGGTAGTATTATGATAGTACAGCATGAACACCCACATTTTCAAACATGTTCTGTGTAGATGTAACAGTCTTATTAAATAAGAAACACAGAGCCAAATGCAGAGTTAAAAGCCCAAGAGGTCAGAGCAGTAGCTGAGAGCTGAGACTTAAAACTGCCTTCTTACCCTTCCTGCCACTGCTGTCCTTCCCCTCAGAAAGAGGCCTACTTCCTGTGTGTCTGTCTTTTTATTGACTTTCTGTTCTGCCTTCTCATTGGTTGTAACCCAACCACATGACCTCCTCGTCACTGCCTGTCTATACAGACCTCTAGGTCTCTATGGTTGGTATTGAGATTAAAGGCATGTGTCTCCATGCTGGCTGTATCCTTGAACACACAGAGATCTACCTGTCATGTGATCGGGATTAAAGGTGTGCGCCACCACCGCCTGGCTTCTGCTATGGCTTGCTATTAGCTCTGACCCCCAGGCAACTTTATTTATTAACATACAAATAAAATCACATTTCAGTACAAATATAATATCACCATAAAGCAGTCCCAGAGAAGTGTGAAGGGACTTGCTCAAGTTGTCACAGAGCCAATGAACAGGAAAAGCAGGCCCAGGTAGTTGTTCCTTGACCTATCTGTGGCCTTTTTGATAGTTTAATACTCATGGTCTTTGAATTAAGATTCTCCAATTATGATGAGATGAGAACTGTATGCTTTCAGTAGAAGCCATGATTCAGAGATTATTATTGTTGTTGTTGTTGTTATTATTATTTAGACAGGGTCTTACTTTGTAACCCTGGCGGCCTGGAACTCTCTATGTAGACCAGGATGGCTTTGAAATCACAAGGATCCTCCAGCCTCAGCCTCCTGAATGCTGGGATTAAAGGCATATGTAACCCTGCCAGACTGTACTTAAGATTTTGAATTTTGTGGTCGGTCAGTGTCAGACCTTTGCCTTGCATGCATGAAGCCCTCAGTTCATTTAATTCCTAGTACTACAAGGGGGGAAAAGTAGATTTTGAATTTTGATCTTGTCCAAGGTCATGGGCATTGACAGCAAGCTCCAGCTTCTGGTCAGTGCGGACACGAGAGGAGTCAGCTGGCATGCTGCGGCGCAGTGAGGCTGGTGCTCTGGTCGGGCACAGTCAGTGCGCTTGCTTTTTTCTTTTCTGGAGGCAGTGTCTCATGTAACCGAGGCTGGCCTTGAACCTGTTGTATAGCTGAAGCTGGCCTTGACCTAATCCTCCTGCCTCCACCTCCACAAAGTGCTGGGATTATCAGCACACCTGCTTTCTATGATGGTCAGGGACTGAACCCAGGACTTCCTGAATGCTAGGCAGATACTGCCCCCTGAGCTACAGATCCAGGCAGCCTGCCTGCCTTTCTTGGTGTTTTGCCTGCGTGTATATCTTTGTGCCATGTGTGTGCCTGCTGCCCTTGGAGGTCGCAAGAGGACAATGGATTCCCTGGAACTGTAGTTACAGATGGTTGTGAACCGACATGTAGTTGCTGGGAACTGAACCTTCATCTTCTGGAAGAGCAGCAGGTGCTTTTAACTGAGCCATCTCTTCAACCCCAGGTGTAGCTCATTTTGCATGAGTTCTTCCCCTGCTGTCTGTAGCCTCAGTTTTCCCTCCTTTTAAAGAAGTCCTAGGTCCCTTGCCCCCCCCCCCCAGGGCTGAAGATGTTGAAGAATGGCCGCTGCCCCTAAGGCCTGCACAGTGAGGTCGTGTGTGGACAGGGTTCTAGGAGCTGTCTGTACGCTTGCATTAGACTAATCTTGTCTTTGTGCGCTGTTCACGGCTCTTGACACTCTTTACAGTGGCAGCTTCGGTACACAAAAGGAGAGGAGTCTGTGTTGAGGCCTGAGCTGGGAGCTTGCACTTGATTCCTGTGTCAGCTACTCTGGGCCCTCCAGGCTTGCTCCAGTTGAGAAGAATTAGTCCATTCTGGCCAGCAATGAGAGACGGAATCGACAAGAGAAGAGTGAGGAGGGCTTGGAGTGTAGACAGTTCTGATCTGCAGTCCCTGTGACGGGGTGGGTGGTGGTGGTGGACTTGAGGCTCCCGTGGAAAGGGCCCCCTCTACCCGCAGCTCAGATGCACAGGAGGGTCATTGGGACTGGAGCTGTCTCAGTAGGTAGAACTCTCAGCTATGGTACCCAGCACCACAGATACCCATCCTGGTGGGCCTAAGGGTGGTTTGCTGCTCTAGTGGGAGGTACAGGCTGAAAGGTCATGGCCATTGTGGTTGGTCAGTCCCCATTTCCTGACAGAATGCGTATTTTCATCAACTGGGTGTGGCAGGCTCCACTGACGCCCTGATCTCATTTTATCTTATCTTTTTACTATTTTTGACAAAGTAGTAGTGTCCCCATTTTACTGATGAAGACATTAAGGCTTTTTTCTTACATGAATGTATGATGTTCAAGCTTAGTGGTAACCAAGCAACACTAGTTAGGGTTTGAACTTGGTCTTTCAAACTAAGAGGCAACCAAGGCATAGACTGAAGGACCAAACCTGCAGATCCTGACAAGTGAGGCTCTAGAAGCCAGACCCCCAGTTCCCAACTGTAGCACCCAGAAAGGCTCTGCCGAGAAGTGACTCCCTGCTCTGGCCTGTGCATGCCGAAGGCTCAGGAGGGCTTGCTGGGAGCAGGAGAGCAGCCTATGACTTTGGCTGCCTGAGATGGGATGTTCCACTCTTGAAGAGGGCCTGTTGCTCAGGGCCAGAATGTCAGCAGACTGCCTCTGCTCTTCAGGAGCCTGTGGGTGTGGGTTGAAGTTCCCTGTCAGGGCAGGTCGTCCCCATGGCCTCTTGCCCTTGGAAGCCTCCCCACCCTGTCAGAACTGTGGCCGCCGTCCTCTGTGGGCTGAGGCAGAGGGAATGGTTGGGCGGGTTTTTCCCAAGGATGAGGATCTGGATCGGTTGCCTTTGGCCATGGAACTAGAGAACACCCTGTTTCCAGCACAGAGGCCAGTTGGATAGCATGGGTCAAGGGCAGCTGTGGGGTCCCTGATCCAGCTCTGCAGTACTGGGTGGAGAGAGTGGATCATAGGCTGCTAGATAGATGAGGTTAATGAACACCAATTGACCCTTCTCCTGGCTGGGGAGCGATGCTGAGCAGAGCCAGGCTGGGGAGCACTCTAAGGGCTCCAGACAGAATACATGGTGGGCTGGGTGTGGACCTGGTGGCTCCCATGTACCTCTGGCCTTTCTGCATCTGTCCTCACTTGTCTTTAGAGTACAGGAGCGTAGACTAGGAGGAGGTTCTGGAGCTGAGCACAGTGAGATCTTCCTGTCCACTCTGAAGGGAGATGAGGAGGGCTGGCTTCTGCAGAGATGCCCCCAGGCCTTCATGCTTTGCTGCTGGTTCAGGCAGGAATGTTAGTGGGGTGAGGCCATTGTCTTAAGGTTTGCTAGGGATTAGTGGAGGAGGTCCCAAGGAACGGTGTTTTTGTAGGGCTGCAGGGCTTAGAGAGTAGAAGAAAAGTCCTGAGGGGCAGTTAGGTTGATTAAAAGGGAGTCAAGGAGTCCTAGGTGATGCTAGGTGGGTGAAAGAAGAGCTGGGTCTGACATCTGACAGGTAAAGCTCCCAGACCGAGGTTGTTACCCTGATGTACACCCAGCTCCAGCCTGAGTGGGGGTCGGGAACTGGAGGACCTGCCGGTTGTCTTTGTTTTGACCTTTGCCCCGTGTGAAGTGAAGGGCGGGGTTGCTGTCTCCAGGCTCCTGGCTTCCCTGAGCACCTCCCTGGCCCAGCAATGAATGGCGCAGTTCAGGCCCAGGAGAGCAGGACCTGGAGAAACGACACCAGTCCCATCCGTGCAGCGCTGGCTCCTGACCGTCCCTTCCTGTCCCCCGTCTGCGGTTGGCTCCTGACCTCTGCATACCCCTTGTCTCCCCTCTTCCAGGAAGGCAGGCAGGCTTGGGGTTGTCCCGGAATGGGATGTTCCGGCCTGAAGACCCCCAGGGGCGTCCCAGACAGTGGCTCTGTAGGAATGTGAGACATCTCACACTAACCACCTTGTTTCTGCCCTCCTTGTCCTCTGCCTGCCTAGAACTTGGAGTCCACTGTGCCTTTAGAATCCCTTTCCGTTCAGCCAGGGGATTTTGTCTGACTTAGAAAACCGTCCTGTGTCCAGGGAAGTGTCCACCTGACCCCTGACCTCTGGCCCTTGCTCCACAGCTGCTGGAATATTTGGGGAAGGGCAAGAGTATCGTGGACGTGGGGCTGGCTCAGGCCCGGCACCCACTCAGCACCCGTAGCCATTACTTCGAGGTGGAGATCGTGGACCCTGGAGAGAAATGCTACATCGCCTTGGGGCTGGCCAGGAAGGTGGGCGCAAGTGCCGTCTCTGTCCCTGTGGGGTCAGTTTGGGGCTGTTGGGATGGGGCCAGGAAGTGCTGGGAAAACCTGGGCAAGGAGCCGTAGAGGAAAGTTGTGAGCTGAGGCAGAGCATGGCTCTAAGTCTGTTTAGAGCACAGGCGCTGTGACGTAGGACACAGTGTCCCAAGTGTGCCACCTTATCTGGCCCTGGGCCCCTTCCTGTCCCCCCGGTTCCTGGCTGGGGACTGCCGGCCATCTGGGTTGTCACAGAGTCAGATGCCCCTCTCTTCTGTCCTCTTTGGTCATGCGTGATGTCAGATTTCCTTTTGTCTTCCTGCTGTAGGATTATCCCAAGAACAGGCACCCCGGCTGGAGCAGAGGGTCTGTGGCGTACCACGCAGGTAAGCGGGACCTGCTGCTGTGGAAACTGAGGGGACAGGGCCAGAGTTGCCAACTCTCCCCTCACTCCCAGGCTGCTCAGGCTTTCTCCTCATCTTCTTGTTTGTCTCAGTCCTGAAAGCTGGAGGCACAGGACAAGGCAGGAAGAGAGCTGGGCCCAGAGTGAACACTCCAGGCCTCTGACATGGCTCCCCTGTGCCCCTCCTGAAGATCGCTCAGCTCTCCTGTAGGGCTGGCTTCCTGAGAATACTGAGCCTTGGCGCCTGGACTCCCCTCCTCCCTCCCCTGCTTGCTCACCCCCCAGGGACCCCGTCCTTTCTTCCGACCAGTTCAGTCAAGTGGACTTTGTTTTCCTTTTTGAAGCCTGGTGTCCTTCCTGCATCTGTCTCATCCCCAGGACTCTAGAGTCAGTCCCTTCAAGTGTGTCCTTTCCTCTCTCCAACAGATGACGGCAAGATCTTCCATGGCAGTGGTGTGGGGGACCCCTTTGGGCCACGCTGTTACAAAGGGGACATTATGGGCTGTGGAATCATGTTCCCCCGGGACTACATTCTGGACAGTGAGGGTGAGTGAGGTTGGGCAGCAGCCAGGCTGCTCAGGGCAGCGGGCGGTGGGTGCCGCAGGAGCTCATGTTTCCTGTCTCCTAGGGGACAGTGATGACAGCTGTGACGCAGTGATCTTGTCCCCGACTGCCCGGGCTGTCCGGAACGTCCGAAATGTCATGTACCTGCACCAGGAAGGTGAAGAGGAAGAGGAGGAAGAGGAGGAGGAAGAGGAAGAGGAGATAGAGCAGGAGCATGAGGGCAAGAAGGTGGTGGTGAGTAGGGAGGAAGGGGCTCATTCTGGGGTCCTGGGGCAGAGCACCGGTGGGAGGGGGTGAGGGTCGGTGAGGGA